TACTTGTAGTTCAAGGTATCCTAACTGATAAATATTTACTTTCAAATCTATAACAATGTCTATAAACTATAGAAAACTTTTTCTTAAAAACCTTAGGGACCCCCCAAGTCTATCCATTTATAGACTATCTCTTTTCCTTACATCAAAATCTACAAAACTTATATTCAAATGTCAAAAATCTTTTAATAAAAAGTTATCTTCAATTGAACAGGTAAAAACTCCTATTCCTATTTCCAGCCTCCATAAAAGGTAAGGACTAAAAATGTAAATAAATTTGATTTTGTAGCATTCTTTAATTTCTCGCACTCAGGGGCTGGGGTTATAGCTCAGCTGCAGGACACCCTCCTGCCAAGTGCAAAGTTCTTAGTTCAATTCCCAGTAACTGTCTCCCCCACCAAAAAAAGAACAAAATGAAACAAAAACATGTCCTCTAATTCTAGAACTCCAGGGCCTGTAGAGATAGCTCAGTAGAATAAGTGCCTGCCGAGCAAGTGCAGGGTCCTGAGTTCAATCCCCAGTACCGCAAAAAACAAAACAAAACTCCAAAAAGATTGTGTATACAGTAAAACTTCAATTTACTAAGAAACCTGTGTGTCAAGAGTTTTTATTAAATTATTTTGACTTCAAAGTTAGTCATTAAAAAATGGCTAAGTCATAAATTTGGCTCTAACTCATTGAAAAATAGTATTTACTCACTACCGGAGACTTCCTAACTTAATAGCCCTAGATTCTCACTTCCAATGCCCACACTCCCTGACTTATTCTTAGCAGTGAAGGAATAGAGGGAGTACAGATGGAAAAGCAGGAGACAGGAAGAGCTAGACAGAGGGGCTAGAGCTGGCATGGAAATAGGTCCCTCATCTTGAGAGACACTGTAAGGTGCTCTGTATTTCATCGCTCACATTTCCTGAGAACAGGAAGGTCTATTTTTTGACTATAAGAAGTGGTGGGAGCAGCTGAAACTGGAAATTGGCCCCGTGTGGGAGGGCAAGATGAAGCCTCATTGCCTAAAACAGTCAAGCTACCTCAGTCTTGAGAAGAACATCCTGTCTGGACACTGTGGGCTATTAGTTGCTAGGAAAACTTGTGTCTTGCAACTTTGTAAAAGTATAAATAAATGTCCCTGCTATTGTTTAGGGGCCCTTTGCCTATTGGCATAGCCCACTACCTGACCTCAACTAAATCCTCTCCCTGTTTTCTCCTGGAGGCCACTGAGAGACCAACAGATCCCTATATTTGGCACCTGCAACAGGGACCGAGGTAAGGAGGTATTGATAAGTGAGAGGAAGTTCCCCAGAAGTTTGAAGGCAAGAGAGTTGGGGAACAGATTGGTGGGTCACTAGTTAGCACTGGAGTGTTATGTTGACAATTATCAGGTGAAAAGCATGAGGCAGGAGGTCTATTGACCTTCAAAATTATATAAAAAATAAGCTTTAAACAGAGAAATAGGTTTAAGAAAAGCCAAAAAGCAATTGTCAGAAGTTGCAGCTAGTGTATTATTACATTATTACTTTTTTACATGTCATGATTTCTGCTGGATGGTTAAAACTAAGTTAAAGTGATATAAATAAAATTTTAACTTTTTGCTATGTAACAAGGTCAGTTAAAACTCTTTAGGATTTACTTCAGAACCATATTTAACACCTCTTAGATCTTTTGTCAGTATCAGCCATCTGGATGAATCACGGCCACTGCTTGACCAATTAATTTTCTGTGAAAGCTTAAGAGATATTTTCTCTCTAGGTGACTCCCCTTAGACACATGATATATTGTTGATCACGCTGCTGTCTCCCATAATCTCCTTGATCAGAAAAGTAGGGACTCAACTGAGTTACAGGATGTCACAGCAGAGGTTTGCTTATATCCTGAGTCTTCACTGACCTTGAAGAGCAGCCAAAATATTGGCTGTCCTTTTAGCCCATCTATCTGCCTAACTTTTGTTCTCCAAACTTTAGTTGTTAAACATTCAGAAGAAAAGCTTAGACATTGCCCTGAATGGAGGCAGTAAGGTTAATATTACACTATCTACCTGAATATCAAACACCTTTGAATAAAATGGAACTGTTATTTCTAACAACCATGGATATTATAATGTTTAAATCCATGTAGAATGTTAAAAGACAACAATTACGTATTTTACACAGAAATTTACAAATAAAAAATTATATACAGTGAGACAATCCTCATGACATTTTGTGACACTATTTTTATCTTGAAGATGGAAACAGTCTCTCAGAACAATTTTTTCCTCTCTCTAATTGAGCAAAACTACAGGGTTTAAGCTCTGTCTGCTCTACCTTTGCTCCACCCTCCTTGTCCCATTTGATTTTAAAACAGTATTACATGGTAAGTCCTTTATGGTAGTCTTAAAATGTACAATAATGTAAAAACTTTTCTTTAGGTGTAGTTATAATGAACCACTATGTTTTCTGCTTTTCTGCTAAGCTCTATTGCTTGGCAAATGGCCTTTTGTATTTCTCCCAGCGGGCAACCTAGCACCTTTGTAGCTGCACTACCTGAAGGCCATCCACACTTGCATTTGAAAAGCCCTTTAAAATGTTTTCCTTTAATTAAGTAATTTTATTCTTTAACCCAATACTTTTTCTTTTTTAATAATTTCAAAATTTTTATCAAAGAAAGAATGACTAGTTGGTGATATGAGGGTCTGGAGTTATTTAAATAGTTTTGAGTAGATTGGATTATAACTTTGATTTTTCTCTCTATAATCAGCATTAATGACACCAAGCAAACCCTGGAGACCTCTTTGTATTGAGGCTCTGCTTCTTGTTGCTTTTTTAAAAAAGTGTATGGCCTCAGTGCTGGTGAGCTGCTAGTACTTAGAATGGGCTCCTTCACCCGTACACCCTCTTCCCAAGCCACATGGGCTATGGCCCTGTAGCCACAGCTACTGTGTGCAGCCATTGCGTGTGCCAGCATCGCTGTGGCTCCAACTGCTAAATGTTGTGGTTTTGCTCAGACACACTATCTTGTGTCTAATACACTTTCACTGCCAGCTGCATAGCCAACTCCAAAGTCACGGTGAGCCACAGTCATGACCCTCCTTAGCACTAGGCACACAGGCCTGTGGTTGGTGGCTCGTGCCTACCTCTGCAGCTGGACCTGGTGCCCAGATGCACAAGTGGCTGAGAGATCCCAGCTGGGTCATCCTAGGACCAGCACACAGGCCCCTCCCTGAGACCTGTTTGTGCCCCTCTCCCTGGCAGACTACACCATCTGCAACCAACTGCTCTCACTTTAGAACAAAAATTATATACAGTGAGACAATCCTCATGACATTTTGTGACACTATTTTTATCTTGAGGATGGAAACAGTCTCTCAGAACAATTTTTTCCTCTCTCTAATTGAGCAAAGCTACAGGGTTTAAGCTCTGTCTGCTCTACCTTTGCTCTACCCTCCTTGTCCCATTTGATTTTAAAACAGTATTACATGGTAAGTCCTTTATGGTAGTCTTAAAATGTACAATAAATACAGGCACGAAGAAAACACTAAACATTTTTATATACATCTATATATTTATGAACATCTATGGTTCTTGAAACTCTGTCCCATTTTAATTCAACATAACTTTTTCCTTTTTGGCTTTTCTTAAACCTATTTCTCTGTTTAAAGCTTATTTTTTATATAATTTTGAAGGTCAATAGACCTCCTGCCTCATGCTTTGTCCCCTCACATGACTGGGTTTGCCCTAGCAGGCACTTAAACAACTGAGCTAACCTGTAAGCCTCCAGTTTTTATTGTTTTAAAAAAATCAAAACTTTTGCTACAAATTATCCACGTATATATTAATTTGATAGGTCATTTTTGAATTTGTTTCTCTTTATGTTGTTCAGTATCTTATTAAATATATTGCTCTTAGGAATAGTCTGTGGTCAACACAAACATTTGGTTATTAATGTTCTAAATATTTATAATACTTAGGGAGTTTATCCTTGTAAATACAGGAACTGAAAATCAGAGCTATCAGATTACATATTACAAAGCAAAAGAATTTATTTACTTTTAAAAGAACATGTGCATCCTACTTTAGTGTTACAATTACAGATATAGGGGCTGGTGAGATGGCTCAGTGGTCTAAAGCAACTACTTAGAACAAGCTTAGCAAAGCACAGGGACCACAGTTCAATCCCCTAGCACCACATGCCAGCCAGCCCCACCCCCAGGTGGGCTGAGCTGGCCACACACACACACACACACACACACACACACACACACACACAAATAAATAAAATAAAT